TTGAGCAGTAATCTCGTTCGCTTTAGGTCTTTTATACGAAACCAAAGAGTCTTGCATTGCTTTTGATTTTGAGGATCCAACGAATATCTATTCCTGCGTGATGATGTTCTGTTGATCGGAATTCTATAAGACACACTGAACGTTAGTCTCACGGATGGTGGGTCTGTTTGCAAAAGAAAACGCAATGTATTGTTTCCTCTTTGGTAAAATGAGAAGGTCCTTGTACTCTTTGGAAGAATTACATATGTTAACTGGTTGTTGCCTGCTCTGTTTCCTGCTTGGAGCAGCAATTTTTTTCGCTTTTATCTGACGGAAAGAAGTGTTCCAATTGCCTGGGATAGATTTTGTGGGTCCAATGAGTATTATTCCTGTGTGATGATGTGCTGTTGATCAGAATTATGTTCTTACTTGCAAGGGTATATTATCAAGATCTCCCATTGTTGTTTACAATTTTGGGGATCCACTGAAATGTTAATCATGTCTGTGGTGTATTCTTAGCTAGAATCCTGAATCACGAGTGAATTACACCTGTTACTGCCGCCTGCTATACTAGTATATATTTTCCTACTTGAAACAGGAATTGTTTTCCCCTAATTCATGGGACGAAAAGGTCTCCAATTTCTTTGTATTTTCGAGGAACCCACAAGTATTTGTATCTGTAATTTTGTGTGATGCACTTTAACCAGAATTGCATAGGGCCACTGTAGGTCAGTTAGTGTAAGGCATCTGAACTGCTGTGCTTCCTGATGTGATGATGATGCACTGTGGATCAGAATCCTGTAGGATCCACCGAGTGTTTGTGTCAAGGATGATGATGATACATCAGGGAGGCATCTAAACTGCACTCCTTCCTGATGTGATGTGTGTAGCTCAGATGGACATTCGTGTTTTGTTGCTGCTACTTTGAGAATTATATTATGATGAAAAGGAAAGGTACTTGTATTGCTTACAACTTTGAGAATTATATTATGCCTATGTGATGTACTGTATTGTTTAGTCAGGATTCCGTAGAGCCACCGAGTGAACGGTGTTGTCAGGGATGAACAGGCGCAGCCAGTCAAGGCAGCGCTTGGTTGAACCTCTCTTGCTTGTGGATGGTACCTGTCATTCAGCAAGCAAACCACCAGCAGTAGACTGGGTTGAGTTCTTATACTTTTTGTTTCTTCTATGTATCCACCGGTAGTTTTTATGCTCAGAAGATGGATTTATTTGCAGCGAAATAGCAGACGTACATCATGTGTTAGTTGTCTATTTGGACATATGTACATCTGAACTGCACTACTTCCTGAGGTCTGATGTGATGTGTATAGCTCAGATGGATACATGCCTACCTGCAATGGAAACTGGGAAAGGCTGAATTGCACATGCCACTTGCATGTGCTATTCTGTTCTGTTCCTACTTGCAGTAACAGTGTCAAAACATTCACAATTTTGGGGATCCAGTGAATGTTATTATGTGTGTGATGTGCTTTAATCAGATTCCGAGTGACCATCGAATGCCATTGTCGCGGGTGATAATAGCTCGGCGAAAACATATCTCGAGTGTCTGAACATGGTGACGGCGCGGCCACTCAGTTCAGATGCACCCAATGTTTTTAAGTTCAACAGTTCAGTTGATCAGGCACAAGTGAAAGTTTTCGTCAAGTATGATGAGTTTGTGAAGGAAAGAAAGGCGATGACGCAGAAAGACAGACACTCAATTGTCAAATCCACATCCAGAAGTCAAGTCAGTGCTTGTTTAGATAACTGTCGAAACATTGTACTCCATGTGGATAAGCAAACAACTAGTAGTAAAGTAAGCTAGAAAGAGTTTGGATGATTGGTGCTGCAGATTTGGGCAAACTAGACTAAACAATTGGGCACTGTGATGGATGCTGATGCTCCCTTGCAATGCACATGTATTATAAGTTTATTTATAACCCCCCATCTAATCTAATACTCTATAACCATATGGATTACGAGCAGTAAAGTAATCTGATGTTTCGCTCCGAGTCGATCACTCGCATACAATGTTTCGCTCGGCGACCCACTTGGAAGTTTGCAAATGAGAATAGAAAGTGAACATTGTTTGTTGTTTGTGAATGTCATTAGTAATGTCAATGCTATTCGTTGGCTACTTGTGATTCAGCAAATCACTGGTACTGCTGGCTGACTAAACTAGGAGAAGGAGCTGCTGGTGTAGTCCGAACCGAAAAAGCGTGATACATGAGTACTCCTAGTTAAGAAGATGATGATACTCTCTGTAAAAAAAATGTGTTGTGCGGATGAATATGGTGATGATGTGGCTGCTCGGTTCACACATCCCCAGTGTTCCACTGAACAATTCACTTTGTCTACTTTGAGTATGCAGTGAGTATTTATGCTCATGCATTGTATTGCTATAATCAGACTGAAGTGAATGTTTTTGTCAAAAAAGGGTGATGACTTTGTCCAAGGTGATGATGCAGACAGACTACTCAATTCACATCAGAGTCAGTGGTTCACTGGATCTGTCTCTTCCACTAGCGGATAAGCAAACCACTTGTAGTAAAGTAAGCTAGGAAGAGCTGGATGGCTGGCGGCCTAGTACAAACTCCAAACTAAACAATTGACCATTGTGATTGATGATGATGGCGCGGACCGCTCAGTCGATCGCTGGCACCTGATGAATGAATGAATGTTTCGGTCGGCAGTCCACTTGATCCGTGCCCGTTTGCAAAGAGAGAAAAAGGAGCTTGATCCATGCCTATGTGATATGCAAAGAGAGAAAATGAATGTCTGAAATGTTCTTCTTCGTCTACTGCTTGTGGCTCAGCAAATCACTAGCACGAACTTCTGGCTGACTGAGTAAGCCAGTAGGAGGTGCCGAGCTGCTGGAAACTGAAGAATTGGATTGGATTGACCACCGTGAAGGTGCTCTGACACTGAGACTGGGAAGAGGAGCAGGGTCGCATGGGTGGCAGGGTGTGGTGACCATGGCGACGGCCGGCCGGCCACATGCGCCCCACGTGCCGGGCCGTTCCGCGCCATCCCGGCCGTCCGTCGCCCACACGTGTCGCCGCGCCGTGCCACCGTGCCAGCCATAACCCGGTCGCACGCCTCGCACGCGCCAACCCTAGCGTGCACGCGTGCCCTGCCCCTTCCCCACACGGCACGGCGGCGCGTCGGCCCGATCGATGCTGCGGCTGGATCCAGGGGAAGAGGACGAGGAGATGGGCGGCGGGGCAGTGAAGGAGGAGGAGGACTCCGACGAGGAGGAAGGGGAGGACGACTTCTTGGTGGCCGGCGACGAGCAGCGGCCTCCGGAGCAGAGCAGGCGGAGGGGGAGGGGGAGGGAGGAGAAGGAGCGGACCAAGGCGCGGGAGCGGCGGCGGCGGGCGGTGACGGGGCGGATCCTGGCGGGGCTGCGGCGGCACGGCGGCTTCGGGCTGCGCTCCCGCGCCGACGTCAACGAGGTGGTCGCCGCGCTCGCCCGCCACGCCGGCTGGGTCGTCCTCCCCGACGGCACCACCTTCCCCCAGGCGAGCCACTCCATTCCATCCCATTCCATTCATTTTTCCTCTCTTCTATAGCTTGGCTCAGTCGCCATGCCAGCTCAGCCAGTGAGCTCGAGTGAGCACTGTACACTCACACATTTATGACGTCATAAACAGGCTGTCTAGTCGTACAATACGGTGTATTCCGGTTTATTTCCGCCTTTGAAAAGTTACATACTCTCTCCGTTCCTAAATATAAGTCTTTTTAGACATTTCAAATGGAATATAACCTATGAATGTATGTAGACATATTTTACAGTGTAGATTCACTCATTTTGCTCCGTATGTAGTCACTTGGTGGAATCTATAAAAAGAATCATACTCCCTCCGTTCGGAATTACTTGTCGTAGAAATGGATGTATCTAGATGTATTTTAGTTCTAGATACATCCATATCCGAGACAAGTAATTCCGAACGAAGGGAGTATTTAGGAACGGAGGGAGTACATGAGATTGTTATAAGTACTTCCTCCGTTCTATGTTGGATCAGGTGCTGGGTTCATAGATGACAGATATGGTTTCCTCCTTCGGCGTTTTAGTCGTATGAGGGTGCCGGATCTGGAATTTGATGGCGATGATGTGTCCGGTGTGTTGCCTCGGTCTGACTTGCTCAATGATAACATTTTCGGTTTTAATAAGCCACCTTAAAAATCCGCAAAACTCAGCCTCGTTTAGTTTGGACGAGGAGGTGACTCGCCCTTTTTCTTTTTGATGGTTGCCGTGGTGGTGTCAGAGGCATTTGACGAGCGTTGATATATAATTCAGATGATTCTCCGGCCTTATTTTTTTTGTAAAATTTATTTTTGACCGGTGTTTATGGGCTAATGTTATGCCTTTTTTCAGTTTTCTCAGATCAGCGTGTACGTGACTTGTATTATGATAATTATAATATAGACGAGATGTATTATCATTAAAAAATATAGTTAGTTGCCCCTAAAAAATATGTATCATTAGAAAAGGTGATTTGGGAAGGAGGTAATACGAGAGTATACTCCCTCCTTTCCAGTTTATAAGGCTTAATTCAAAAATCTCACCAACCAAGATAGATGGTGAGTGGTAGAATATTTTTTGTAATTTGCAAAAGGACTCAATTAATGCTTTTGTTTTCTTCAGAAAAGATTTGCAAAAGGACTCAATTAATGCTTTTGTTTTCTTCAGAAAAGATTTGCAAAAGGACTCAATTAATGCTTTTGTTTTCTTCAGAAAAGTATGTTTATCAATGCATTAATTACAATGCATGCATGCATAAATTACATGCATTGGTCAATTTTCTCTTAATACTTGCATGCAATGATTTAATGCACCTTGAAATCTGAACATGTAATGGAAAACAACCAAATTGAGTCTTGTAAAATGGGAAAACTAAAATTTTGAGATAAGCCCTATAAACTCGAAAGGAGGGAGTATTATTTTGTCCCTGCAAAAAGAAAAAACAGTATTATTTTGGCGGGATTAAAAGAAAAGAACGGATTTTTGCTGGCCGTCCATGGCCGCAAGCCCGCAAAGGGAGGTGGGGGAAGGAAGACGGCGCGGGATCACGGGCTGCTGCTCCCGGTCCCCGGCCGCTCCCGGCTCCCGAGGGCGCGCTCCACCGCCACCTCCCCCGTCTTCTTCCTCCCTCCCATTCCAAGATCCAACGCTAACTGCTCCTCCTCCTGCTCGTACTCTGCTCCTCCAGACGGCGCGCCCCGCCATGCTCGCACCGGCCCTCTCCCTCCCCGCCCCCTCCGCCGCCGCCGCCACGCCGACGCTGCTCCCGGTCTCCTCCTCCTCCTGCGCGCCAGGCATCGCCGTCCCGCCTCTCGCCGCGCGCCCGATCTCGCGCCGCGCCGGGTGCGCCCCCGCGCTCCGGACCGCCGCCGCCTCCTCGCCCTTCGCGGTGCCGCGCGCCGTGCCCGAGGGCGGCCCCGCGTCGCCGCTGCTCGCCGTGCCGGTGCCCGACGACGAGGACGCCGACGCCGCCATGGACGGCGGCGACGGGGGCGAGCAGACCGGCCTCGCGACGCGCCCGGCGGCGGCCGTCGTGGCCCCGCCGCGGCCGCCGCCCGAGCGGGACTTCGCCGGCACGCCCTACGTGCCCGTCTACGTCATGCTCCCGGTAATCCAGATACCATTCTCTTCTTTCACGTTGAGCTCCATGTGTGCGTTGTGTTTGATGACATTGGCCGCAATTGCTGACCCCGCCTTCGTCATTTGTAGCTCGGGGTGGTGACCGTGAAGGGCGAGGTGGCGGAGGCGGACGAGCTGGTGGCGCAGCTGCGGGTGCTCAAGGCGGCGGGCGTCGACGGCGTCATGGTCGACTGCTGGTGGGGCAACGTCGAGGCGCACCGGCCGCAGGAGTACAACTGGGCCGGCTACAAGCGCCTCTTCCACATCATCAGGGACCTCAAGCTCAAGCTGCAGGTCACACATCCATCCATTTCCGAATCAAATTATTAGTGTCTTGCAATAAAGATGCACATATCATGAATTTGAGTTTCCTTTGCTGAATTTTGCTATTCTGATTGATATAACTTAGGTGGTCATGTCGTTCCATGAATGCGGAGGCAATGTCGGAGATGACGTGTCCATTCCTCTCCCGGAATGGGTGATAGAGATCGGAAAGAGCAACCCGGACATCTACTTCACCGACAGGGAGGGAAGGCGTAATACGGAGTGCCTCTCGTGGGGTATCGATAAAGAAAGGGTTCTACAAGGCCGAACTGCGGTCGAGGTACAATCATTTCACTGTATCCCAATGGATGATAAGTGGGAATTGGAGAAACCAGGGGGGAACTTTATATTTGTATGCATGCTTACTCATCTCTTGATCTCGAATTTCCACCAAATTGCTGCACTCTGTTTTTGAATTGACTCCCATTTCCCAACTACTTGAACCCTGCAAAAGCTTTTCCAACTAATGCCCTCTAAATTATGCTTTAGGTGAATCTGTTACTTCTTGTGAATTCATTAGTTCTCTAAATGTGCAATGCCACCTTCCTGAATTCGTGTGCACTTGATATACAAATGGTCCAGGGAACATGAGATTTATCACCAACACCCTGTTTATACATACTTAGGCCCTGTTTGGATCACCGTTTTCGTTTTAAATACCTCCGTAAAAATTACATGCCACGGTCAGTCGTTTTGTTTACGGCCGGAAATTGCTCATTAGCTGTTAAGTTGCACCTGTAAACAAAACACCTCCGTGTTATTTTACACCCATCCCAAGTGCGGCCTTAATACATAGTAATAAAGAAGGAACTGCTGTAGTCTGTTTTAGAGGGTCTTGAATAAAGAAGCTGCACCTGCTGTATATTTTCCATGTGTTCTAGTTTTATAGTGGGTATATCATGAAACTTAAATGTCGGCTTTCTGTGTTTAAGATTTTCAGTTTATCGGAGGGTTATATGTGTTTCTCCATTTCACCCCCATTAATCATTGCAGGTGTACTTTGACTTCATGAGAAGCTTCCGAGTAGAATTTGACGAGTATTTTGAGGATGGGATCATTTCAGAAATTGAGGTTGGACTAGGTGCTTGTGGAGAGTTACGGTATCCATCTTATGCAGCAAACCATGGCTGGAAATACCCTGGCATTGGAGAGTTTCAGGTAAAGCTTCATCTCTACACTTTATCTTTCAGGGGTCATTTTCTACTTAAAGGTATATTGGCATTGCCAATCCGTGCTATATCATCTATATCTCGTCAAGTTTCTTATAGCATAAGAGGGGTATCAGTTGAGGATGTATTTTGCTCCAGTGCTATGACAGGTACTTGCAGAAAAATCTGAGGAGGGCCGCAGAAGCACGGGGACACGCCATGTGGGCAAAGTCACCAGACAACGCTGGCCACTATAATTCTGAACCAAACAACACTGGATTCTTCTGTGACGGAGGAGATTATGATAGCTATTATGGCCGGTTCTTCCTCAACTGGTACGCCCAGGTGCTGCTGGATCATGCGGACCGCGTGCTGATGCTAGCCAGGTTGGCCTTTGAAGGCTCAGCTATTGCTGTCAAGGTCAGTCATAATCGTCAGTTAGTTACTTCACAAAGCATCAGTACCTCTGGACATCTGTATCGGGGGCATTTTGATCTTCCTAGTGTTCAGATAAACTTGTTTTTGCATACGAAGTAAACTAAATGATCTGACATCAAGATTTGCTCCCTTGACATGAACAGGTGTCAGGCATACACTGGTGGTACAAAACTGCCAGCCATGCTGCTGAGCTGACTGCTGGGTTCTACAACCCATGTAACCGCGACGGCTACGCTCCAATTGCTCAAGTATTGAAAAAGCATGGTGCGGCTTTGAACTTCACCTGCGTTGAACTGCGCACCATGGATCAGCATGAGGTGTACCCTGAGGCCTTGGCTGATCCAGAGGGCTTGGTATGGCAGGTACGGGGCCTTCTACATTTTTTAGAGAAAAACGGGACCTTCTACGTTTACAGAGATGCTTATCATTCACTTTCACATTTTCTTAGCGGTATTTTAGAGTGCTAGTTTACTCTCTGGTTAGTGAATCTCTCTGACTTGAGCAACTAGTTGGTAGGGTTTTGTGCGAACATTCGGTTTCGTAAATCATGTAGCCAACTGAATTCTTCTGTTCATTACTTGAGAGCAGCTATCTTGATGATAGTATACCAGTTTTTGATCTGTTGGATTATTGTTTGTTATTCAGGTGCTGAATGCTGCATGGGATGCCGGGATACAAGTGGCCAGCGAGAACGCTCTGCCTTGCTATGACAGGGACGGCTTCAACAAGACACTGGAGAACGCCAAGCCGCGGAACGACCCCGATGGGCGGCACCTGTTCGGGTTCACCTACCTGAGGCTCTGCAGCACCCTCTTCGAGGGACCCAACCTCCCGGAGTTTGAGCGTTTCGTCAAGAGGATGCACGGTAAGATTACATGACCCGCATCCCAGTTTTTCGTCAAGAGTTTGAGCGTTTCGTCTCTTGTCATAGCTGCATACATGACCCGCATCCCAGTTTTTCACCCGCCTCTCGTATACCACTGCTGGTAATGACGATTTCTTTCGGTCTTCTTTGCAGGCGAAGCGGTTCATGACCTGAGGGCGTAGATTGTCAGCATGTTACATACATAAGTACATATATAGAAGACATTCTTGTTGTCCCGGGCCTTTGTTATGGTTCTCATTGGGGAACCACATGTGCCATTTTTGTCTCGTGATAGGTTGATATTTGAGCTATATATTGAACCGAATAACGCCGCTCCAAGATGTAAACCATATATATCTTTCGTGCTTATAGTCCTAGTCATCAAGCTCGAGGATCATAAGTTGGTTTGCCTGTCGAGTGGCTGAGAACGCCGTGAGCATCGCGTCGGGTCATAGCTTCTGTAAAAGGTTTGAGGCTGTGCGATAAAAATGCTGACGCTGTTCTCTCTCTCTCTCTCTCTCCTGTGATGCTCTTAGTTAAGCAGCATGATTCTTTTTTTTTGTTTGGTATTGATATGTTTGTGTCATGTCTTCTTTTCTTGATGGAGAGGGACGCCAATTTTTAAAGCTGCAATGCTCGAAAGCGGCCCAGGGCATGGCCCAATCCTGGGGCCGCCATTGTATGCAATTTTCTATTAAAGAAACCATCAGAAGTCCAGTACAAGTAACCAGAACACAGACCCGAACATCCAACACATCTAAAGCAAATATCCAGCCGCCTCCTGCAGCCACAACTTGCTAGACCAAGCAGACACAACAACTTGCTAGACCAAGCAGACACAACGATCCATCTATTACAATTCTACCAAAAGGAAGCCAAGCATCTAGAAACGGACGTCTAGATAAGAAGGTCCATTCCCATGGAGACGCGCACCATCACATATGTAGCCGCGGCACACCAAAACGCCACCCTTGTGAAGCCCTGTATATCTCACTTGCCACCTGTCCGACGAGTCTTGCTCCCAGCATCAACATTTTTTCTTCTGGGCCCTTTCTCTGCAAAACAGCCCAGTCAGTAATCCAATTACACATCCTTTTGATAATCCCATATGGGTCATTTATATTGTTCCCGCCAAAAATAATATCATTTCTGCAATTTCAAATTGCCCAAAGTAAGGCAGAAAAGTGCCAGTCAACACCAGCCTTTTGTCATTCTTGTTAAATTTCTTAAGCCAGTTCCCAAAGCAATCATTCAGATCTCTCGGGATCTGCTTTAAATCAAAAGCACAACCAACCAGACTCCAGATGAGCCTAGCTACCGAACAGGAGAAGAAGAGGTGATCAATGCTCTCCTCTTTTCCACACAGGACACACTGTTTGTCCCCTTTCCACCCTCTCTTTAACATATTATCTCTGGTTAGGATGCTTTTTTTTGTTTAACAGCCATAGGCAAAATTTGATTTTCGCTGGCACCTTTGTTTTCCACAAGAATTTTTGCGGGAAACCCACATCTGTTTTAGTGAGATGGGGGTAAAGGGACTTCACAGAAAATTTCCTATTAGCAGACATCATCCACATAGGTTTATCTTTTCCTCCATACATCAGTATCTCTTCACATCTCTTTTTAAGCTATTCGATAGTTGTTCAGTATCCCCAAACAGAGCTCTTCTAAAAGAGAAGAGATCCCATCCTTTGTCAATGGCTCCCTTGACAGAAATGTTTTGATCATTACTAATGAAGTAAAGAGAAGGGTAGGCCTCTTTCAAAGGTTTGTCATCTACCCACAAATTCTCCCAAAAGCTGGTATTTCTACCATCACCAAGTTTTTTCTTAATATGAGGATAAACAAATTTCCTAATTTTGAGAAGACTGAACCAGAATTGGGAGTCCCCATTTTTATGTTTTATTCCAGACAGACATTTCTCTTTAATATATTTGGCTCTAATTATATTTTTCCAGAGTACATCATCATCCTATAGTTTCCACATCCACTTGGCTAGTAAAGCAATATTAAAGAGTTCCAAATTAGTAACTCCCAGCCCCCCTTGCTGTTTTGGGAGACAACAAGTCTTCCATTTGACCAAGTGGTATTTCTTTTTATCTTCTTCAGCTTGCCACACCAACCTAGCCCTATAAAAATCTACCTTTTTCTTTACTTCAGCAGGGAGAAGGTAAAATGACATCATATATATGGGTATGTTGGTAAGACAAGATTGAACCAATGTTACTCTGCCATCTATATTAAGCAATCTCCCCTGTCAGCAAGCACACCTTTTTTCAATTTTCCAGTCATATTTTTCCACATGTTGTTTCTAATTCTTTTACTAGAAACAGGTAAGCCAAGATATTTCAGAGGCATTTCACCAAGGGCGCATGTGAATATCTCCTGATAGATATCACTTTTGTTTTTTTGCTTCCCCAAATAGATATATATCACTTCCACTTTTGTGGAAGTTTATTGTCAGCCCAAACATCTGCTCAAAAGCAGTTAGTATGAATTTGAGATTTCTAGCTGATTCTTCATCATCCTGTATCAGGAATATAGTATCATCAGCATATTGTAGCATATTTACACCATTTTCATGAACATCAGTGAGTACCCTATTATATATCCCTCAGTCCTTGCTTTATCCATTATCAGGGCTAGGACATCTACTGCTAAATCAAATAGCAAAGCAGAAAGAGAGTCCCCTTGTCTGAGCCCTTTGAATGTTTTGAAAAAGGCCCCACACTGTCATTAACCTTCACACCCATGTGTCCCCCTCTCATGGTGTGCATCACCCAATCACACCACTTGTCAGGAAAGTTTTTAAGTTTCAACATCTTGTGAACAAAAGGCCATTTAATCTTATCATATGCTTTTTCAAAGTCAACCTTGAATATCATAGCATTTTGTTTTTTTATTATGGATAGAGTTCAAAGCTTCATGCAAAATAACTACCCCTTGCATAATCTATCTGCATTTTACAAAGGCAGTTTGGATAGGAGAAATTATAGGATAAATCACTTTGCTAAGTCTATTCATCAAGACTTTAGTAATGATTTTGAAACTCACATTCAAAAAACATATAGGTCTAAATTTTTGAATCTGTTTAGCTTCTTTGGTCTTAGGGACCAAGTAATAATCCCATAATTGAGCCTGTCCAAGTCATCTTTTCCACTGTGGAAGCCATCTAATATATTATTCAGGTCATTTTTGACCATCTCCCAAAAGTTTTGATAGAATTCAATGGTAAAACCATCTGACCCTGGACTTTTATTTTTATCCATGGAGAAAACCACATTTTTAATTTCTTCCAAGGAAAAAGGTCTGATCAACTCTTCCTGTGCATGGGAAGAAATCCCCCCAACACCCTGGATATTGAGATTGATATTAGAGATTTATGTTTGCCCAAACAGTTTTTTAAGGACCCAGTAATGTAATCCATGAGCTCTTTATCTCCCTCAATCACCTCCCCATCCTGTTCCAATTTTAGAATTCTATTTTTTTCTTCTCCCATTTACCTTGGCATGATAGTATCTAGTGTTAGAATCACCATCTTTAATTTCTTTATCTTTATATCTTTGTAGCCATTTGATCTCTTCTAGCTTAAGTGGATCTTTCAGCTCCTTTCTTATTTTTTTTGCAACTCCCTATCATGAGCACAAAGCCCTCTAACTTCAGCATTTTTATCAATTATATCTAGCAAGCTCATCAACTCTTTCTTCCCTTTTCTGTATGCAGCATTTGCATTTAGGACCCATCTTTTGATCTTCTGTCTAATATTCCTTAATTTTTTCTGCCAAGTATCTAGGCTAGATCAATTGCAGTTTATCCCCCAGTTTTTCTCAACAAATTCTTTAAATCCTTCCATCATCATCCAGGCATTTTCAAATATGAAAATAGGGTGAGCAGTCTTATGTTCCCCTGTGTCCAGTAGAAGAGGGGTGTGATCAGAGATCTCCCTCTCCAAAGCATTTACCATGGCCAAAGGGTATTTGTCTTCCCAATCAGGGCAAATTAGAACTCTATCTAACTTTTCCCCTGGTATAATTTCTCCCATTTTACAGGCCCAAGTATAATTTCTCCCATTTATTGGTATACGTCTAAGCCAAGCATGCTCTATTATGCCATTAAACAGAAAACTAAAGTGATCAGTTCCCCTAGTTTGTTTTTTTCAGAGATATTTCTGATTATATTAAAGTCCCTTCCAATCACACATGGTAGGGGGTTATCTTGATATATTCTGGATAGCTCAGCTAAAAAAGCTGCTTTTCCTTCTTTTTGAGCATCACCATATACTGTTACTAAGTTCCAGCTAAATTTAGTTTTTTGTCAAATAGAAGCATTCTATTAAAATATGTCCCTTTTTCCACTTGCAGAATATCAAAACAATCATTATGGACTCCTACTAGGATACCACCAGATTTTCCCATAGGAGCAATCCATTCCCAGAGGAAACTTTTTCCTCCAGAAAGGTTATGTAGTTCATTCTTTGAATAATCACTTTTGATAGTTTCTTGTAATCGCACAAAATGAAGATGTTTTTCTACAATTGTATCTCTAACGAAGTTTCTTTTAATATCCTGCCGTATCCCCCTGACATTCCAAAACATTGCTACCTGTCTTTTTTCTTCTTTTTCTTCACCCCTCCTATTAGGATGACATGCTTCCCAGCACTATTGGCTGAGGTGCCAGTCTTCATTTTTTTATTGCTAGAAAAGATCGTTTTTAGATTGTCATAATAGTCCAATTCTAGTTCAGCATCAGAATGGTCATCTCTAGAACACAAATCTTCCAATACAGCATCACCAATGTGAATAGGACTTGGAGAGCTCCCTTCTGCTTTTCCCTCTTCTTTGTTTTTTATACTTCGGAGATATAAATCTCTCCTAGCCTATTCCATATTGGCAATCAGGTCTAGGTTTTCATTGACCAATTCAATAGTACACCCCAACTCAACCCCCACATTATTAGCCATTTCAAATAAGGAAATTGTTTTGTTAGATAAGATGGGTAACTTACCATAATTGTCTTTCTCAACAGCTCTTTCTTTGGCAAGATCTTCAATCCCGGCATCTTTCTTATCCAGATTTCTATCACTCCTTCTAGTTGGCCCATCCTTTTCTTTATCCCTATATTTATCATCTTTAGTAGTAATTCCCAATTTTGATCCCAGGGACTCCATAGAATCTTGACTAGC